AAATCTAGCATTTAAATTCTTTTTTTGTATTTTAAAGTTTAAAATTAGAAGGAAAGTCGCTTCACAAGTCAGTTCTTGGTCCCTCTTCCTTTCCTTCCCTTCATCCAATGCCCTGTCCCCAAGCCCCATTAGCCCCTCATTTCCCCAGAGATGGTAAGGCCCTCCATGTTGGTTTCCATTGTCTGTCATTTCATCCAGGGCAGGGCCTAGACCCTCCCCCAAGAGTTAAGGGTGAGAGTTTATCTCACATTGTTGGATGGGTGTCCAAAATATGTGTGTATACTCTGGATGAGTACTGATCTACTGCCCAAGGCTCAATAGATTACCTAGTCCTCCTCACTGACACCCACATTCAGGGGGTCTTGATCAGTCCGGACTGGATTCCAAGGCTAATGCCGGGTATTCAAAAGTTAACCTTTGTCAGGTCAGCTGTTTCTGGGGGTTACACCAGCCCAGTCTTCATCCCTTTGGTCATCATTCCTCCCTCCCTGTTACTGGCTTTCTTGTGTTCACCTCAGTGCTTAGCCATGGGAGTGTGCCTGTTCTTCCATAAGCCACTGAATCAAGTTTCTGTTTCCCAGACTCTCTGGCCATGGGATTGTAGGCTGGCACTCCCCAGATCTATGTCTAAAATCCATATATGAGAGAGTACATGCCATGCTTCTTTTTGTGACTGTGTTACCTAACTCAGGATGGTTTCTTCTCCTGTCATCCATTTGCCTGCAAATCTCAGGATTCCATTGTTTTTTTCTGCTTAATAGTACTCCATTGTGTAAATATACCACATTTTCCCTATCCACTCTTCAGTTGAGGAGCATCTAGGTTGCTTCCAAGTTCTGCCTATTAAAAATAATGCTGCTATGAACATAGTGTAACATACAGACTTGTTGTATGAATGGGCATCTTTTGGATACATGCCTAAGAATGGAGTTGCTGGGTTCTTGTGGTAGGTTTATTCCCATTTTTCTGAGGAATCTCCATACTGATTTCCAAAGTGGCTGAACAAGTTGGCACTCCCACCAGCAATTGAGGAGTGTTCCCCTTTCACCACATCATCTCCCGCAGAAATTGTCATTGTTTTGGATTTTAGCCATTCTTACTGGGGTGATATGGTATCTCAGAGTTATTTTGATTTGCATTTCCCAAATGGCTAAGGATGTTGAGCCCTTTCTCAAGTGCCTCTCAGCCATTTTAGACTCCTCTATCAAAAATTCTCTATTTAGTTATGCAGCCCACTTTGTCATTGCATTCTTTGTTGTTTTGGAGACTTGCTTCTTGAGTTCTTTTTAAATTTTGGAAGTCAACATTCTGTCAGATGTAGGATTAGTAAATATTTTTTCCCATTCTGTGGGCTGCCTTTTTGACTTGCTGTGTCCTTTGCCTTACAGAAGCTTCTCAGTTTCAGGTATTGCTGGTTTTGTAGTGGAATTGGCCCTTTAAACTTCTGCCCATCGTGCCTAGCTTCACAGAACCACTACAAAATTACGTAGGTGCCAAACCAGTCTGGAAGAAGGAGTTTCCCACTCTGGATCAGGGATTAGAGGTATGTCCTCACGCCTTAAATTCAGGTTTCCTCCCAATCCCTTTATAAATTTAGATGATTTCCTGGACTGTGTGAGCAGCCACGGAAGCATCTTCTCAGTCTGGTTGGAGCCAGCCTCCTGAAAGCAGCCTGGTGACTGGTGTGTGTGTCTCCACATCGCACAGCTTACACAATCACCTGGATAGAACCAGGTTAGACGGCTAGGGCTCCTTATCAGAAGATTGACTGATGCTCAGCCATGAGTTAGAAGACAAACAACCATTTTCGGGGCCATGGAGCCTTTCCATCTCAGACAGCCCAGAGAAAGCCAAGAGGGCCCATGGCTCAGAAGGTTCTCCCAGTGGGAAGTAGTTGAAGCTCCTCTTTGGTGGGACTGGTCCTGTGTCCCAGAGAAGGCTCGCTATGACCTCCTTTGAACCTCTCAAGGATGCTCGCCTCTTCCAAGTTCAAAGAAACAGCCTTTTGGTGATTAAGCCATTTAAGAAGTAGGGTGTGTATGGGAGTTAGTTTATTGGGTTGGGTGGGTGAGTACCTCTTCTTTGTGTCCCCTCAGGAGAGGGAGCATCGAGGGGCATTAGCACCCTGATGGGGACTGAGGCTGGACGGGTCCCTGATCCCTTTATGACTCTGATATCTCCCTTGGCACTCATAGGTGAAATGCAGAGACTGTGGGGCCTTTGGCCATACCTGGTGGAGCATGAGGTGCCCGATCAAGTGTGCCTCTTGGTTCCTATTCCCAAAGCCTCTGGAAGGCAGAAAGCAGAAAGAGAACCAGGATCCTAGCAGGTCCCAGACACAGGGGACCATGTGCCCTACTGAGAGAGACAACAGACCGAGCCACGGCTGAGGACGGAGGTGAGTGATGGGCAAGCACAAGGCCCCGGGGGCTGGAAGGAGAGAAGGTTCCAGGTGTAGCATATCTCCTCTCTGACTACATACACACCAAAAGGGTCCAGAGATCTTCACAACTGCCTCCCCTTTGGACACCAAGCTGACTTGTTCCGACACCATTGTCTGTCCCACAGGTGTGAGGAGCAATAGAAGAGAGCTCCCTTGCAGAAATTCCCCATCGAGAGCCCAAGGAGGGATCAACACATTCACTTGACTGTGAGTACAAGGCGTGTCTCTATCCCCGAAAGTCTGTTTCCCTGTGCCCTACAACCTTGTTCCTTTTTTTGCCATGTTGTCTCCCTGTTCACTTGTTTTCACTTTGCCTGCCGACTCTCACAAACATCCCTGTTGCAGCAAGGCTTTATTTGGTCCCTCCCAGGGTAGGCTGACTTGAGTGTGACGAGTGACTTCTGCTGGCGCTCTCAGGGTAGACCTGCTGTCCTGGAGGAAGGGCACACTCTCCCTCACTTGTACTTGAGCATGACCTTGGATCAGGGCCCCCTTCTCTGTGAGCTGACTACAAGGATGGCCAGTCTGCCTTGTTTTCTGGAGACCTACCTGTCTGCCCAAAGATTTTTGTTCTTGCCACAGAGACATTTTTTTTCTGCTGGTTCTAGAACCCAGACATTGATCGGGGAACTCTAAGTGGTACCTACATATCCCAATTTCAGCCAAGCCTGCTTAGTGGCTCCCAAAACCTTCGAGAGACACTTTCAAGGCAGGGCATCTAAACATGCCTTTTCCAGGCTTCATTCATACATCAGTTGATTTCGATTCTCCACCTGGTAATCAGCAGCTGACTGTTTCCAGGTCGCCACAGGAGACCCAGCCTTCTTCCTGTCTCTCCAGACATCACTATTTTGTTTTCTAAAAGACATGTCAGGAAACACACAGACACAGGCCCGAAACTTAGAGTCATCAGAGTGAGCCCGACCTCACTTTGCAGGGAGGCTGTAACTCTTCACCTCTCCGTGCTCAACCTGCCCATCCTGCAGGTTTTGAAGAGCTGGTGTGGGCCATGACAGCCTGGCAGATTTGACTTCCATGGGCCCCCAAGACAGACTCCACTCTGGAGTGTAGATCCTAAGAGCTCCATGTGTTCTTTGCAAAGCCTTCCCTGCCCTTCCGTGCTCACTGTGTGGTCCTGAACTCTGCCTGTGTTTGTCTTCTCCACAGCACCCAAAGAGGTCGGGGTTCATTGCGAGAAGCAGAAAAAGGGCGCTACCGGACAGAATGGAGACCACAGTGCCACCTGCCAAAAAGGCTCTCGGGAGACAGACTTGCCCTGGAAACACTCCCGCCCAAAGCCTTGCAGGTTCCTGCATGTTGCCCTCCAGGCAGGAGAAAGGGCATGCCATGGTTGTCACTGAAGATCCCAAGCCCCTGTTCAGGCAGGATGGCAGAAAGGCAGTCCCATGGGATGCACTCCACAAGCAGCTTCAGGGTACCTCTGCACATCAGCCCAGGACTGTGCCAAAAAGAAACAGACTTGGGCAAGCGTTCAGAGTCGAGTGCAAAGACCAGGGGCCCAGAACTGACCAACCAAGTCCCAAGAGTACAGCTGCTCTGGTCTCAGCCAGACCTTGTACTGAGTCCCAGGAGCCAACACCATCCCATGTTGCAGGCCAACCCCTGAGGATGATCTTTACCATGACCAAGGTGATTGCTGGACTTCCAAGTTCATAGAAGTAGCCCCAGGACATCCCACTGAGAAGCAAACACTTACTTGAATGAGCCCAGCCTCTCAAGATAAGGGAAGGGAGCCAGCTCCTAGGTCTCATGGAGTGTCTTCTATGAGGTCGTTCTGGCCTCCTCCTCCTCAGAGGACAGATATGGGGAGTGAGCCTTTACTTGCAAAGAAGATACCACCTCCCTGCTGAGACTGCCTAGATCCTTCAGGGTCTAAACCTTATGGACTTTTGGGAAGTGAAAACAATCTGTGGGTTACTGTGTTCCTCTGCAGAAGGCACTGGGTAGGTGACTGGAAACTGTCATGTTCACATCCAAAGAGCTTAAACACTGAAAACTCCTCTCCAGGCTGGACTCACATCTCCATTCATGTAGCCTCACATCTACCTGGACTCTGGATTCTGATCTCTGCTGCTGAGAAGTAATCTGAAGGAATGTCACCTGTCATGTCCCTTTTCTTTGTCATTGACTGGTAATTGATTCTTTCACTAAGCCCCATATTCATAACTATCTTCTACATGCCATACCATATATTGTTTTCTACTTCTGCCATTAAAAATTGTTCTCTAAATTATGCCTGTGTGGGTTTTTTTGCACTGTCTATGTTTTAATATCAATCCACAAACCCCAGTGGCATCTGCCTAACTCATCATTGGTGCGATGCAGACACTCTGCATATCCCCACCACAATGTCATGTTAGTCTAATGTTAAGCAAAGACATGATGGTTGCCTCAGTTCTAGGACACCACTGGCTGCTTCTTGAGCTCCCATACAAGGTTTCCTTCATGGTCAGTCTGTTTCCTGCCCCTGAACCTCATCTTAAACTTGGTTTCAGGCCCAATAATTAGAGCAGCACATTACAAACCCTACCAGAGATTCTCTACCCTGCTGTATTTGCCTTACAGCTCTTCATGTCAACACCCAGTCTAGGGCCTGGGTGCCCCTCTTTTCTGGCAACTTATAATCTTCTGACAGTCTCTCACACTGAAAGTTCAACAGCTTGGTTCTCCTTGCTGACTAGTAGGCTTCAATGATTTGTTGGTCTTGAGTTCCTTGGCTTGGTGAGGGCTATCTTTGCATAGGTTTGTGCTCCCAACCAACATCAGCTCAGGTAACTTTAGGAATTCCCTGCTGGATCCTCTTTGTATCATGATGTCAGTCCTCCCCCCTCCTAGTCGGTGCTGCACATGCTCTGTTCCTCCTTGGCTCTCAGTTGCATTCATCTCTAGATCAACTCTTGACTCATCCAATAGTTCTTTTGCTTCTTGCTCCACTCTTCTTCACTTTCTATGATCTTAATTGTTATGGTTTTAGTTTCCTTGAGTCACATATCCGAGCCTGTATGCCCATTATCCCCATTGGTGGACCCTCATGTGCTCTCAGCCTGCTGGCTGGCAATAAGCTTGATGGATGAACTGGTCCCACTTCAAAATCTGCCAAGTGTGAGAGAATATCCAAAATTAATGAAATTGGAGATTAAAGGGGGATTAACAACTTACACTGCAAAAATCCTGACAATCACATTATTCTCTAAAACCTGCTCTTCACAACTTACAAAATTGGAAAATCTGAAACAATTTTCTTGATATGTACCACGTACCAAATTTAAAGCAAGCAATTTCAAATATAGGAATATGTACCCTGACAGGATATAACACAAACACTTAAGTTTTCCTGAGTTTGAAATAGTAATTTCCTTTGCCAATCAGAATGCCCAATGAAAACATTAAGTTCACTTAGCAGCATGAAAGGAAGTGCAGACAAATATAAACAACTATGAGAGTTTAAAGAGCCAATACCAACACTCCGCAATTGTTCCAAACTATAGAACCAGAAGGAACACTTCCAAAATGTTATGAGACCACAGACACCCTAATACCCAAACCACATAAAGATGCAATAAAGATATTATACACAATTCTCCCTCATGATCATTGATCAAGAAAAGCAAAAAAATTAGTTAAATACTGGCACACCTCATACAAGAACACAAAAAAAGAATGTGAAAACCCTACATCTAACATAGGGCTGATCTCCAAAATAAACAAGCTAGACATAAAGGTACCAAATAATCCAATTAATAATGTTGTGCAGAACTAAACAGAATTCTCAACAGAATAACTTAAATGGCTGAGAGTCACTTAACTGATCAACATCTTTAGCTATCAAATCAAAATGACTGAGATATCTTATAAATATCAGAATTTCTAAGATCAAAATTGCTAAGGATAGCCTACTTTGGAGAGAAGGTGGAGTAAGGGGAGCACTCCTTCACTGCTGGTGGAGTGCAAACTTGAACATCCACTTTGGAAATGAATATGCCTGTTTCTCAGAAAAGTAAGAATCCATTTATCTCAAGACCCAGTGATATCACTTTTGGCCATATAGCCAAAGGATGACCAGCCATACCATAAGGACACTTGCTCAACCATGTTCATAGCAGCATTAATTGTAATAGCCAGAAACTGGAAACATAATGGATAAAGTTGTGGGGCATTTACACAATAGAGTATTACTCAGTGGTAAAAAAATGACATTATGAAATTGCAGGCAAATGGGATACTTTTCCTAGTTCCATCTGAGTGAGATAAGCCAGACCCAGAAACAAACACAGTATGCACTCATTCATGAGTGGACATTGGATATAAAGCAAAGGATAACCAGGTTACAATCCACAGGCCCAGAGAAGCTAGGTAACAACGAGGACCCTAAAAGGGATGCGTGGGTTTCCCAGGGAAGGGGAAATAGATGAGATTTCCTGGGTATACTGGGAGTGGGACTGGAGTTTGGATAGGGGAGGGGATGGAACGAGGGGAACATGAGGAATGGATTGGTCAACTTCAGGGTGGAATGGAGGGAGAGAGCAAAGAAAGAAATATCTTAACAGAGGGGACAATTTTTGGGTTATAAACCTGGTGCAAGGGAACATCCCAGGAACCTGTAAGGATGACTCCAGCTAAGACTCTTAATAGTGGAGAGGGTATCAGAACTGGCCTTCCCCTGGAATCATATTGATCACTATCCTAATTGTCAACAGAGAGCCTTCATCCAGTAACTGATGGAAGCAGATGCAGAGATCTACAGGAAAGCACTGGGCTGAGCTCTGGAGGTCAGTTGACAAGACAGGAGGGATTGTACAAGCAAGGGGGTTTAAGATCACAATAATGAAATCACAGAGACCTTTGACCTGAGCTAATGCGAGCTCAAGAATTCTATATACTAGCAGCTAAGGAGGTACATGGGAGTGACCTAGGCCCTCTGCAGGGGGATGACAGTTGTGTAGCTTGGTCTGTAGAGTCCCTAGCAGTGGGATCAGTACCTGTCCCTGATACAAGAGATGGAGTTTGGAACATACTCCTTAAGCAGGGAAGCCTTGGTCAGCTTTGATGTGGAATGGGGACCTTGGTCCTGCCTCAACATGATAGGACCTGCTTTGTTGATTCCCATGGGAGGCTTGCCCCTTTTTGAACAGACGAATGGATAAGGTGGCATAGAAGGGAGCTGGGGGAAGGAAGGGGAAGAGAGGTGGGAGGGGAAACTGATATGTAAAATAGAAAGGTTTAAGAATTAAAATAAAAATTCTGCCAAATGAGAACTACCATACACCCCACAGTTGAGGCCAGGCTGTCTGCTCAGACCACTGTCTTCAGCACCTTGGAGGGAAAGGCACTACAATGCTCAGCAGCTCCAACCAGCCCAGGAAGCATCCAAGCTCAAGGTCAGTTTTGGCCACAAGAGAACTCATCCCAGAAACTGACACAAAAGTAGCATTTTCTTGGTGCTATCTAGACATTCATGTTATTTCTTTCTAGGCAGGAGGATTTATGGTGGAATTGTGCATGACAGGCTTTGCTAGCAAGCAAATACAAGAAAGCCCTGACCGAGGACCTGAGACTCTACTGCATGAACACTGGTCTCCTCATCATTCTCTTATTTTAAACTGAAGTATTTAGTCTTCATGGTTTACTGCTTTCCTTCACCGCTTCCAAACTCCATGCTGTTGCCCCATATTTTCCAATTCATGTCCTCGTTGTTTACTAAGAATCTCATTCTTTTCTCATTATTTCAGTACCTCACATATCCAAAATATATGTTTTCCAATGGGATAATTCTAGTTATTTGCTATATCTCACATTTACCCCAGGAAATTAACCACCATCATTTCAAAAGAAATAGCCTCTTTATCTCATTCTCCATCACTGTCTCTGTCTCTCCCTGTGTCCACCCCTCCACTCCCATGTCTAAGACTGCCCTATAGACGGTTATTTTGTGTCCTTGACTGATAGCACTATAAAAACATGACTATCAGTGATTATAAAATTACTTTAGGGTATAGTTCCTTTATTAATGTGCTTGGTGGGTGAGTTGGTCAAATGCTAGCTCCTCTCATTGGTAAATTCTGAGGAAACAGACAATTTGAAGGTCACTGGCATTGATGAATATCTCAACAGCCAAAAATAATTGGATTAGATAACAAGCATTAGATGGAATGGCAGGGCAAAGTTAATGTTTTGGTGTGTGTGGGCAACTCCTGCAGGCTTCTACCTCCTATCCACACACAGAAGGTGTGGTGGAAGGAAAGGTTCTGACCTTTCTCCTGTGGCCTCTTAAGTAAATATCTGTCTGAAACAGCACCCAAAGCATTTTTTGTGCTGGCTATCTACTCTTTTCTCAATTCACTCAAAGTATTTCCCTACAGATGGTCTAAGTACTGATATATAACTGCTGCTGGATTGTAATTGAATTTTCCCTTGGAAAAAATCTGTTGGGACTCTGTAGCTTCACTTAACTAGTAATGGAGACATGTAGAGCTGTGACCCAGATTAGAGGTGTGCCTTAACCTCAATTCTGGCAGCACTTGTCCTCATGTCCTCAGAATCTGGTCTTTTCCTCAATCTGATAATTGGGTTAGATGATATCAAGGACCTTGTAAGCTACCTGTGAAGCAACTTTTCAGTTCCATTGAGCCAGCATCCTGGAAACCAACTCCTGCCTGGCGTGTATATGTCCAGATTTCACAACTCAGTGAATCTGCTGGATAGAACAGAGAGAGACAGTTTATTCTGAGGTTGGAGTCCTTATCAGATACTTCTTAAGGTGGCTGGTTATAAACACAGGAGTGCTTTGTAATGTTTGTGGATTCCCTGAGATTATGATGTGATAGGAGTAGTATTTCACTTAAGCATTTTGCTGAACAGAGTTTGATGACATTAATCATTCTTAAAGTGGAATACTCCCAGAATGCACCAGCTTCAAGTCTCTAAGGCCCATTTGACTCTTCTGTGGTGGTGGAAACACAAAAGGGAATTAATGTGTGATAGCCATTAGCATTCTTGTCATGTCATGGAATTTCACACCACAATATCCAATTTTCCTCTGAACCTGCTAATTGGATTAGATGACATTATGTATTACTTGATCTTAACTGGAACAGCTTGGGAAGACACTTCTAAGTCCTGTTTAAGCCAGCCTCCTGAAAGCAGCCTCCTGCTCCAAATATCACAGCTCAGGATGTCTGCTGGCTAGACCAGGTGGAGAAAGTTAGCTCTCAGATGGGAGTCCTTGTCAGGATTTTCTTGAGTTGGGAGAAACATAGTGTCACCCATTATAAAAGTAGAAGGCTGCTCCTTCCTCTCCCACCTCTTCTCATTCCCTTCTCTCCCCCTCCCATGTCTCCCTTCTATTCTCCTCTTCATCCCTCCTCTCCATCCCCCGAGTCTGTGTCCACCCTGCCCTCCTTGCTCTGTTCTTTTGCCCTTCCCCTACCTTTTCCTCCCTCTCCCTAAACCATTCATGCTACCACCATCTGGGCAGCCATCTCTATCTTGCTCTCCCCACACACACTAGCTCCGGTAGAGAAGAAGCTCAAGTGTCTTAGGGTTTCTGTTGCTTCGATAAAATGTCATCACCTAATAGCACGTTCAGGAGGAAAGGGTTTTTTCAGCTTGCACTTCTGTATTGCTGTTCACCACTGAAGAAGTCAGTACAGGAACTCAAACAGAGCAGGATCCTGAAGGCAGGATCTGATGCAGAGGCCATGGAGGGTTATGGGTTACTGACATCATTTCACTGGATTGCTCAACCTGCTTTCTTATAGATTCCAGGGTCATCAGCCCAAGTCTCATACCACTCACCGTGGGCTTATTGATCAGTAATTGAGACAATGTCCTACAGCTGGACCTCATTAGTTCGTTACCTTAGGGCTTCATCATCTTCTGACTCTAGCTTATTTCAAATTGACACATGAAACCAGCCACTACAACAGAAGTCTTGTCAACTTGACACACAAACACATCATTGTTAAACCACAAGATATTCTTATTCATTCCCCAGATCGCACAATTAAAACAAACTTTAAGTGTTCCATATTCTTACAAATTCAAACACATTAAAATTTCAGTCCAATTAAAATAGCCAGTTTCTTTTAAAATCTAAAGTGTCTCAAATGTGGGCGCCAATAAAAATTATTTCCAAATGAGGCAAATTCATACAACAAGGGCATCTGCTCCACTATGTTCATAGCAGCATTATTTGTAATAGCCAGAACCTGGAAGCAACCTAGATGCCCCTCACCTGAAGAGTGGGTAGAGAAAATGTGGTACATTTACACAATGGAGTATTACTCAGCAGAAAAAAACAATGGAATCTTGAAATTCGCAGGTAAATGGATAGCACTGGAAGAAACCACCCTGAGTGAGGTAACCCAGTCGCAAAAAGACAAACATGGTATGTACTCACTCATATATGGATTTTAGACATGGATCAGGATAGTGCCAGTCTGCACTTCCACTTATAGAGTGTCTGGGAAACAGGAAAGAACCTAAAAGATATGCATATATGCATAGTACCCAAGAGAAGAGGATTGAGACAAGATCCTCTGAATGGATGGCGAACACGGCAAGGGGTGGGGGGTGGGAGCTGGGTCAGAAGAGAGGGGCAGAAGAGAAAGAGTAGGTCATGGAGGAACAGAAAGTTGTGTGGGTGGGAGTAGAATAGGGGAAGGGGGAGTCATAGGTTAGAAGACAGATCAGGCAGCAGAGTGACCTCGAGTGATCTAAAGGGATAACACCAATTGGCAAGATAAGCAATAGTGGAGAGACCCCCTCGAATGCCCATTCCTGATAATGAACTTGATGTCTATAACCATCCGGGAGCCTTCATCCAGTGATTAATGGAAGCAGAGGCAAACACCCACAGTTAAACACTGAACTGAACCCAAGGAACCCAGTGACAGAGAGGAGTGATGAGCAAATAGGCAAAGAATTGGCTGGCAAAACCAGCAGAGACAGTTGATCTGAACAGGGGAGAGCTCTTGGACCCCAGACTGAAAGCAGGGAGGCCAGCATGTGACTGATCTTGACTCCCCAAATGTGAGTGTCAGCGAGAAGGCCTGGGCAACCTATGGGGCCCTGAGCTGTGAATCAGTATCTATCCCTGGAATACAGTCATTGTGTGCCCATAGCACAAAGAGGGATGCTCTCTCACCCTGGACTATAAGGGGGAGTGCCTGGACCCTACCCAGAGTGAAATGACAGATTCTAGGTACCCCCTATGTGGAAGGATTTGGCAGTAGGGTGGGAGGCTTGGGGGAAAGGGGAGTATGGGAGGAGAGGGGGGGAGAGGGAACTGGGATTGACATGTAAAACAAGCTATTTAAAATTAAAATAAAAAATGATAAAAGAAAAAAATTTCAGGAGGGAAAAATCCGGCACTGTCACAATCAAATCAAAGCAGAATAAATTCCAAATGTCTAATGTCTGGGATCTACTCACAATCTTCTAGAATCCTTCAAAGAAGTGGGTCATTTCTCAGGTTCTGCCCTCTGCAGCAAACATAACTTGTATTCTAGGCTCAAGATGGCTCCACTCCATTCCTCTGCTGCTGTTGGTGGTGGTCATTCCATGTTCTACTGGCATCTACAAAATGTTGCAGCTGGCCAGAACTTTTACCAATAGCCTCTCATAGGCTCTCTTCATGGTGCCAAGCCTCAGTGTATTTGTGTGACCCCTTCAGTCCCAGGCCTTCAACTACCACTGAGGTTGTACCTTCACCAATGGCCTCTCCTACCTTCTCACAGTGCCAACTCTCAGCTGCTCTCCATGCCTTCAAAACACAGTACTACCTAGGTGACTCTTATTCATAGTAAAGGTCTGGCTGCCAGCATATGGTACAACCTCGGCTGACTCTGGAACACAGATTTTCAATGCTCTCGAGACACACTTCCCAGAAGATTTCACTTGAGTGACTCTTATTTCTGACTTTTTGAGACAGGAGTTCCTTGTGTGGCTCTGCAGCCTATCTTGGAACTAGCTCTTGTAGACCAGGCTGGTCTTGAACTCACAGATATCCACCTGTATCTGCCTCCCAAGTACTGACATTAAAGGAGTGTGCCACCACTACCCAGCCCTCTGGTCTCTTCTTAATCACCACTAATTTCTTAGCTCGAGCTGAGCAGCTTCAAGTACACCAGCAAAGCAAAGTTTCAATTTAGTAGTTCTGGTGCCTTGTTAATCACAACCGATTCTTGGGCCCCACTGAACCAGAATCACACAATCTTAATTCAAAATAGCAAATGACTCTGATAGAGACTTTAAGATGTCTTCTGAAACCTCACCAGCCAGTCCTCCATCTGCTCTCAACATTCTTACTTCCCAAGCTCATAAAGAACATGCCACTGAGCTCTTAACAGTAATGACTCTTTCAGCCCAAAGTTCCAAAATCCTTCCACAATCCTCCCCAAGACATGGTCAGGCCTGTCACAGCAACAGCCTGGTATACTAGTACCAAATTGTCTTACTTAGGGTTTCGAAAGCTGAGCTAAAACACCATGACCAAAAATGAAAGTTGGGATGGAAGAGGCTTATTCAACTTACGCTTCTATATTAGCGTTCACCATTGAAGGAAGCCAGGAAAGGAACACAAACTGGGCAGGGAACTGGAGACAGGAGCTGATGCAGAGGCCATGAAGAGGTGCTGTTACTGGCTTGTTTCCCTGGCTTTTTCAGCCTGCTTTCTTATAGAAGGCCAGGACTGCCATGCTTTGGATCCTCCCCACATAGATCGCTAAATGAGACAATGCCTTACAGCTGGACTCAGGGAAGAATTTCCTCAGCTGAGACTCCTTCTCCACTGATGACTCTAACTTTCATCAAGCTGATACACCAAACACCTGATACAGTCAATATGGGCCACAAGAGATCTTGCTTCTGAAACAAACCAAAGTAGCATTTTCTTAGTGTTTTCATATTTTCATTTTGGAGACAGGGCAGGAGGATTACTGAAGGAAATCAGGACAGTTTACAAAACAAAGTAAATTCCAGAGAACCCTAGCCTAGGATTTAGCCCCACTATGTGATAAACACTAACCATTATAGAATTTTTTTATTAAAAACTCATGATTATAATTTTAACCATTTTGTGAAATTTACACTATTACTAGACCTCCTTGTCCCTCTTTATTATTATTATTTTCATTTTTGAGACAAGGTTTATCTATGTGTAGTACCGGCTGTCTTGGAACAAGCTCTTTAGATCAGGTTGGCCTCTAACTCACAGAGAACTATCTGCCCTGCCTACCTGAAGCTGGAATTAAAATCATAGGCCCCCAACACCTGTTCAATTTTCAGTCTTTCTTAGGGAGTAAAACAAAACAAAACAAAACAAAACAAAACAAAACAAGAAACCATGCAAAGGAAAGTGCCAAGTGTTGACAGAGATGGTGTGCTGGAGATATGGATTTCTCACTAGTTGGATGGCATAAAAGCCCCTCTGCACCAGTATACTGGCTTGTAGGCAGGTCCCAGAGGCCACTTTAAGTTATGGGTTGGCACCTTAAACCCTTCACTGAGGCTCTAAGATACATTCCCCTGCCTGAGATCTCCTCACCTGAGATGGCCAGGAGCTCCTGAGGCCAGGGACTACTTAGTCACGGCCCATATGCCCACCCTCAGGGTCCTGCATACTGAGGTCCACTACAGGTCAAGATTCAGCTGCTTACCTGACTGGGGGAGGGTATCTCTATGAAATACTGCAGTGAGGAAGAAGGGTCAAAAGAAAATGTTGACTTGGAGTAATCTAATCAAACACACACTTTCATCTGCAGCCCAAGGAAAGGTCAGTGATTATCCTGGCCTTACAGTCATGGGGGAGACATTAGCATTTTCTGTTTTACTTCACAGACATTGTGTATCTTGTCGTTGATTATACCTTCTTTTGATTTAGAAAATTGAAATCTCAAACCCAGTGAATACGGCAAAAAAAAAAGAGCAGGATTGCCCTAGGCCTGACTAAACAACTCCCAGCTGTGTGATATATTCTTGCCTCACCAAGTCCCAAAAGCCTCACTCCCCTGCACTCACTAGGAATGCCTCACTTCCAGTGTGAAGTGTACCCCAAATGACTAGCACCCCTACTAATCTACTGGCTACGCCTCACCTGGTCAGTAAATCTCTGGGTTTGACGTCCCTGTGAGTCTGTACATAATTCAAACAAGTCCACTATACACTATTGTTGCTACAAAGCATGAACTTCATAGCCTTGCCGGTTCCCCGTAGTCTACTGAGTTGGCTGTGTTCTTCTGCCCTGTGCTATCAAGATACTTGATTGCTTGGTCTAACCTGTCTGGTGTGGGGATCTGGGGTTATCTCACACTGTGTAAGACAGGGAACTCTTTCTCAACAGTGGGGTTACTCGGGAGTGATCAGGATAGAGGGCTGCTGACAGTTAGGACAGCCTGCAGGGCTCCCTTTCCAAGTTCTTGCTGTGTCACTAAAGGCTTTGACCTGCTTGACACCCAGGAATCCATGGATACCCACCACAAGGTATGTTAACTTGAACCATTAAGTCCCAGGCTTCCTGGGGATCCTGTACTTACCCTTACCAAGAGTTGGGTTCCATCCCGGAAATGAGAATGTTCAATAACACAGAGTAGCAGCACAGGTGTGGTCTCTGTCTCCCTCTCTCTAACTCACACACACACACACACACACTCAGAGAGAGACACACAGACAGAGAGAGACAAACACATAAAGATGGAGAGAGTGACTTATGTCATGATAGGCAATAATCGGCCACTGTTAATCATTGTCAAGGGGTGCCACAGTTTCAGGAATCCATTGACTACTTCTTGAGCTCCCATACAAAGTTCCCCCCATGGTCAGGCATTTTCCTACCCCTATACCTCTACTGAAACATGGTATGGGATCCACCTTTGAGAACAGCACATTACAAAACCTGTCAGAGATACTCTACCCTGACTTTTGACTTAGGGATCTTCCTGGCAACACCCACCCTAGTGCCTGAGTCTTTTAAATATTTTACCAAGAAGTTCTTCCTGGATAGAATTATTGCCATCATTAGGTCACCATTAGGACAATGAATATCCTAGCGATGTCCCCATCTTGACTCCTAATCTGTGATGTCATCTGTCTGAGATTTTTCTCATCCCCTGTCTCATTAGTTGCTCTCACAAAGCTTCTCTAAGAGCTCATGATGGGCGATCACACAATCCACTCAAGATAATTTCAATCTCTCCTCCATGAAGTAACCTGACCCATGCTCACTTGGATCCTGGGGACAGAGTTTAACACCAATAGGACCCCTCTAGCCAGAAGCCACCAATGAGAGAATATATCAAACCTTTTTAAAAATCTGTCCTCAGATTTTGGAGTGAAGGATTAGTGTTCTTGGGCCTCAGGTGTGCTGAGAAACTCCAATCAGGAAAGTTGGCTTGACAGATAATACCTGAGGGCTGCCAGGACCTGGGAGCCTTTGTAAAGGTGTTTAAAGTTATTATAAATGTGCAATATAAATAACTTAAATAATCCAAATGAGACAAACCCTTTGAAAGGTTCAGTAAGGTAGTTTTAGTGTGATATTATTATTGATTCTTTGAGAATTTCATATATGCATACAATGTATTTGTCTCCCAGTTTTCTACCTAATTCCTCCTAGGTCCATTCTTATCTGCCCATCCTCTCCTAAATCCATATCCTCTTTCTTTCTCTGTCTCTCTCTGTCTCTCTGTCTCTTTCTCTGTCTCTCTCTCTGTCTCTCTGTCACTTTCTCTGTCTCTCTCTCTTTGAGACTGTGCTTCTCTAGCTTTGGGAGCTGTCCTGGATCTCACTCTGTAGACTAGGCTAGCCTCCAACTGACAGAGATCCATCTGTCTCTGCCTCCCTAGTGCTAGGATTCAAGGCATTTGCCACCACTGCCTGTCTCCTCTCTATCTATTTTAAAATAACCCTTTGAGGCCAATTTTTGAGCCCATATACTCCTGGGTGTCAGGCAGTCCACTGGAGTTTGATCAGTGTATCAAGGGAGACACCCTTAAGAAAACTGATTTTGCCTCCTCCGGCAGCCATCAGATGTTAGTACTTTCTCACTTGGAGGGAAGGCTCATGAGCCTCTCCCTGTTAGAATGTTGGCTACCTTGATTTTATGTAGCACCTGCAGCGGCCATGAGTTGATGAGTGCAGTCACTCTGTCTCCCACAGAAGATGCTGTTGTCACTCCACTCCTTGGCAACCTCTGTTCTTCATGACCTTTTCACCCACTCTTCAGTGGCTACAACTTTATTAGTGTAGGGAGGTGACAGAGATGCCCAGTTTGTGGCTGCTCCGTCCATAGATGCTCTTTCTCTGCATTTCAACTAGGTGCTTCTATGTTAACTTCCTTCCCCCTCATAAAGAAGTCTCTTGGATGAGGTCTGACAGCTGCACTAATCTGTGGTCTAAGGATATAAATTTAGAGGGCAAATTGATGCTATGTCCATTGAGCAAAATACTTAGGGCATATGAGCTTCCCAGCTGTGGGTCCTTGGCCAGATTTACAGTAGCAGACAGGAGTTGTCTGCAATGGATCAGGCCATTAGCCAATCACAAAGCAGATGGTTACTTCACTGTTGGACCACACTGGTTATTATTGCAGCTACAGATTCACAGATGGATAAGAACAGCTGATTATCTCCCCTGAGCAGCCTACATAGCACCTTCTGGCACTATGAATGCTAGTCACCAGGGAGGAAGGCCTTTGGTCAGTACAACTTGATTTCTCCATGTACTGTGACCAGTTGTGCAGCTTAGGGGCTAACCATCAAGTTCTGGTGGGAAACCAAGAGACTGATGATAGCATATTGTTTTGGAGATACTCTACAGAAAGAACAAGACAAGTTTGAAAGTATAGATTGCCAAATAAATCCTTTCAAGGTTTTAGTCTACTTTTCTACTTAATTTAAATTTTT